GCAAGGTTTAGAAAGTGCAGCTAAGTGCATTGCTAAAAGTGTTTCAACAGAGACTGTAAAAACTGTCAAATACAAGTAAGTTATTATTTTTTTTTATTGGTTTCCTTTTCTACAGTGCATTGTCATTGTGGTTGCATACTGGTAAAAAAGCTCATGAAAGTGCAGGAAAACTACCATAATACCCTAATTATGCAGCACATGATAAGCTGCTAAGTACACAGTAACAAGTATCTCCTGTAAGTAAAAGTATGAAATGAATGAATGCTTCTGGTTTAATATACATATTGTTTTCTAGAAGTATGACAGCTTCAGACAGTGTTAATAAATATTGTTCAGATTTATATCGTTGTTCTCCAATGTGTCATTGGGGGGAGAGAGTAGCTGTTTTAAACCTCTCAACTCTCATCTTGAATTTATATAAACTTAGCTGAACTTGATGAAAAAAGAACTTCAGCTATCAGCAGGTCAGATTAAAGCAAGGAAATACAAAAGGAGAACTGCATAAGGAAATCTAAGGCATAGTGATAATAGGATGAAACAAAATGAGACATGGAGTTGGATTTGCAAAATATAGATGTTGTTACAAAAAAATAATTGGATTGTGTTACTGAGATGATGCAAAGACCAAAGTTGATAAGTGTACTGAAAGATGCTTTGGAGAAGAAGGGAAGATACTGAAAGTATCTATGAAATGTAGCCCTCAAAAGAAAAAAAAAGTGCAACATTTATAGTTGAATGTGAAGAGTAAGTAAAAACATGTAGGTTAAATGGAGTAAAAAGGATTGCTGAAAGTGCATACAGGCTACGAGCAGAGGTTAACAAGGTAATCATCAGCTTGTAGTGTTGGGTCAACCAACATTTGGGGTTCTGTTCTGATGCATCTCAAATAGGAGGCCAGATAGCAAGTTAACAGGGGTGTTTTATTGCTAACATTCATCCTCTGTAGGGATGTCAGGAGGTATTGTACCAGCACTCTTTCGTATAAATTCACATTCACGTTTTCTTTTAGATATAAAAATAAGAAGTGCGGAGATCAGCAGGTGCCAGACGCTAAATGAAAAACAAAGTAATTACAAGTTGCAGTTAATTACAACACAATATAAAATACTTGATAATTGAAGATTTCCTCCATCTTTAGACTTTATCCTATTATATAAATGTATTAAAATTCTACACATCTCTTCAGTAAGCTGGTTTCTATTTCAGTGACAAAAAGACTTCTTCCACTCCAGGTACTTGGTGAACCAGCTAAATTCCCCTTACTGGAAACAAAGCTAAAGGAGCATCGTCATAGTCTCTCATAAATCAACAAAAAAAAAAACCTGCTAAAATTTAGCTGCAATACCTTTGGTGATGCAGTTATAAAGAGATGCTCATCTAATGTGCATGTTGATCAGAACTGGGGAAAAACATAGTTTCAGAAGTAACAGTTCTGCAAAAGTACCTTGATACTAACCTACTGTGTTTTTATAGTGGTATAAGTATTTGCAGTATTTGCATATGCCCAACTTTTTATTTTAAAAAAGGCACAAATGATGACATTGAGACAGGCAAAGGGAAAAATCAATTATCAAATATTTAAGAAATTATTAATCTGTTTGTATTGCATAATCAATAGTCTTACTATTTATTTACTGATGTCATGGCAAAATGGCTTATGATATTCCTGAAGTGAAAATAACTAATCAAATTGACAAGTAGTGCTCTTTTGCTGTGAGATTAATTCTGTGATCTGCAAATCAGATGGTGGTGATTCAAGGCCGTCACTGTCAGAGGACTGAAAACAGGAACAAAACAAAAACGCTGATCCTTTTAATTTGGTTTCGTTGTTGGCTCACACCAATATGCCATGGCTGCTCTTTTAATAATGCGATAGATTTTTGGAACCTTTCATATGCTGTACTTCTCTTTAGCATTATTTTGAGGTCCTCAAAAAGAATCTCTGGTTATAAGAAACATGGGGAAATAGTAACTCTGCTAATTGTTGATATTCCAACATTGCAAGAAATGCTTCCCTTTGGCCTGGTTTGTCTGCTTACAGTGCTCTCTGGGGCAATGTCTGGCTGCCAGCAACAACTGGAGTTACTGTTCTCACTATACTTTTGCCCTTCTTCAGTACACTCTCTCTATCTTTCTTCGCACTTAAGTAGTTAATTTCTGACTGCAGAGTTGCCTCCTAAACCATAAAGAAGCCGGACCCATGGTCCACTGGAGAGACCAGAGGTTTTCTTGCTCAGTAATTTTCAGCATATCCTCAAGATAGCTTTGTTGAGCCTTTTGGGGTTTTGAATGACTTTATTATTATTATTTCCCCTTCTTCGCCACTTTCCCCTCTACCATTGTATTGATTCTATGTTACCTCAGATAAGTTTTCACTGCACAATGGAGTTTTTTGTAGGGACCCTGCCACCTCCAACATTACAAGCACAGCTGTGACAACAATCCTCTGTCCCCAGGAGACATGATAGACCGTCTGGGTTAAACTGCTTGGGTACAGAGATTCACAACCTCAGTGTGACTGCTCTGGGGACTTCAAACCTGTGTGTCATTCTTACACCAGACATAATGTTACGTTATACTGTGGAGGCAAAGGGAAGGGTGATCTATGATGAGTACTAACCAAGCACTATTCACACAGTGGTGGTACCAGCCAACCAAGAAGAAATATGCCAGAGATGACTACAGTCCATTTTTTTTGTAACAGCTGAGAAGGCAGGACAGTGTTTGCCCTCTGTCCTCAGCGCTGTCACCCATAGTATCACAGAGGCATCTAGGTTGGAAGAGACCTCCAAGATCATCTAGTACAACCTCTGACCTAACACTAAGTACAGACTGAGGAGGCTGAACAGCTGCAAAGGTGGACTTATTTGGGATAATTTGGGGTTATTTTGGTATGAGGCGTGCACACAGAAGCCAGCCCTGTTTCTTACGGTTCTGTAGGCAAGCCTTCTATTCCTTTCTTCAAAACTAGAGAGGTAGAAGGAATACAGACTGGACACTTTGATGAGGAAAAATGACAGAAGCATACTGGCATCTTTAAAGAGAAATTCGCCTTATAGAAGAGCAGCCCTTACTTAAATGACTTGCTAATTTCGCATCTTACTCCTTCAACATTTAGGCTGTGTGCTTATTCTCTGTTCTTAGTAACGCTTAAATTCTTGCTTTTGAAAGAATTCTAATGAAGAGAAAAATACTAAGTATGCTTATCTACAAATCTGCTATCTTTCTTAAAAGGTATGGAGATGATGCTGGCCACGCTACTGACAACGCTGTGAATTCTGCCATCAATGTTGGTGTGACAGCATTTAACATTGACAATATCGGTATCAAAGCTGTTGTAAAGAGAACTGCAAAGGAAACTGGACATGCTGTGTTAGATGAGTATAAAGTACTGGATAAGGAGAAAAAAGATAAAAAGTGAAAACAATGAAATATTTCTCAAAGCCTTACATTAGATATGAAACTTCCTACTTAGAACTACATTGCTAATCTGTGATTTAATGCCAATCATACTCTACTTTTCAAGCAACTGTTACTTAATTTGCAGTGGAAAATACAAAGGTATAGAATGGTATTTTTGGAAGGAAAAATGAAAGTCTCCTAAATTGTTTTGTATTGATGCAGATTGATGTGAGTTTCCAGTTGATAAACTTGCCTCTGTAAGCACTTTTTCAAAATATAGTATGGAACAATAGATTAATATAGAAATGTTATGAATATTTTTGTAATACATTATATTTGTAAAGAAGGTGGTGATACCGAACAAATAGGATTACTAATTCTTATACAAGTGTGGTTACTAGTTCTGTTTTTTTACTATCCTTAAGAGTTAATTTTACTAAAACAGAGTGATCTTATTTAATATGCACTACTTAAATATTTTTGTGCTTTATTCTTTCCTTTGTAGAGAATTTCCCTTCTCAGCTACTAAATAGCTAATGTTTTCCAAAGTTCATATTAGAAGAAATGAAAGATGAACCTCAGGTAGCTAGGTAGTCATTTCCTTTAAAACTATTTTTTCTCCCTCCAGCATGTAAGCAGACCAAAGATATCAAGCATTTCTTCTAATAGAGGGTATTTATAGCTCGAGGAAAAAAATGTATTCCCCGATTGACTCCATAAGGAGTAAGATTCCATGAAACTGAGATTTTTTTTGTATAAAGAGGATGTGTGTTTTTGCATAAATGAAAATATTTTTTCCATAAAAAACATTGAGATTACTAGAAACTCCTATGCATACTGTGCTTTGCAACCAGTACAGAAAAATCCAGAGCATATATGTTGCAGATCCCTGATGGAAGGCATTAGGTATTTGCTTCAACGAGTAGTTCTAACCATATCTTTATTCTGTTGAATTCAGAGCTGCACAAGATGACGTCTCTTAAAAATACCTGTTATCATACCTTTTACTTAGGACATGTCTGGAATAGAATAAATATTATGTAGCTTTCTCATCCCGTTCCTATATCTTATTCCTAGTCCATATGCAAGTCCTTGAGATGACTTTATACTGCTAATTATTTATCAGTTCGTTATTGAGTATTAAAGCTGCTATACATTCTAACTTATCTTGGCTGGACCTGCAACAAACAGAAAACCATCGGTTCACAAGTTGTCTCCATTTCATGTAATTAGAGAAAATAAGTATAAAAGGTTTTTGGCAAATTATATTTGTATCAGATTGGGGAAAAAAGGCAGTAATGACATGTCTGTGAGAATGATAATAAGTGCACATTTTGTGGTAGCTACTGTAGGTGTGTACTTGGGGTGAGAAATGTGAAACAAAGGCACTAACCACTTGAAGTGTAACTGTGATTTATGGAAATAAAGATAATTAAAATTGGTTGAACTGTGCTTGGCCTTCTTATGATGTAAAGTTATGGTACAGATCAGTGAGTGGAAGAACTAATACTTGTGAAGTAATAAAAGAGCAGTCTTGGAGTATGTCTACAACTGAAACATGTTCATCAATTAGACCTTAAAATTTTTCAAAATAAAAAGGCCCATGAAATGTACAGCATAACAATTTCTGTTACTACAGTCTGTCACTTTTCAGCAAGTGTTACCAATTTGAAGTTAATATGGATTTCATTCTAGCAAAAGGATGTTTGTTAGGAATTGCTTTTGCAATAGGAATGTCTGTGTTTTTATCTTCCTTCTTCCTGCCATTTGGGTCTTGTATGTAGCTCATCCCCTCTAGTTTCATCTGTAAACTATTTAAACAACAGATTGTATTAAAGCAGTTAAAGTTGAAGTGCTACAGTCTTCAGGAGATCAAGTTGTAGCGTACTGGGAGGAGAGCAGAGGGAGATTGAATGCCATCGGTGTCAGGCATTGTCCTGTTTAACCTGTTGACATTGTCTTCTTCACGTGTACTCAGTCTCTCAGTCTTTCAAATTTGTCTCAGGGTAGATTAAAGGTTTTTTTTTTTATTATTTTTTTAAATTATGTCTAGCCCTTTTTACACTTCTTAATGTGATATATCCATGACCTCCCCTTTCATGGGGGTCTAAAGTTTAGCCACTCAGTGCGAAAAGTATTGTGCCATTGAACTTAACCTGCTTCAGCTGTCACTACTTAGGCTCTGGGCAGCAAATCCATAGGCTTCTCCTCAGTTCCTGTGCCATACAGAACAGCTTTCACACACAAACTGTTATCTCAGCCCTTCCTTTTATACACTTAGATATAAGCTCCCTAAGCCTCGTATCTTAGGTTTGTTTTCTATTCCCAGCTTGGCTTTGCTTTCACTTTGAACACTGACCATCTTTTGATGTATGGCAGTTCTTGTAGTAGTCTTACTAATGCTGTTTACTGAGTGAACTGCTACCAGATTACTTAATGCAGTGCTGTTTCCAAATTGGTTTCTTCAAAATCTTTTCTGCTGCAATATTGGTCTCAAGTCTTGTACTGAGAATTACTTTTAACAACCTCCATGTCCTTCAAAGCTACTGCAGTCCCTGGCATCTTCACCATTCTTTAGGTATAAACCACTGTTCTGCCCTCAACTGAATCTATTATCCTTTAAAAAGAATTAGAAAAATAGCTTCTAACAAAACATGCTGACCAGGCATGGTTATTCAGGACACCATAGGATGTCATAGGTTGAAAGGGACCTCCAAAGGTCTGTAGTCCAATCTCCTGCTCCAAAGAACCACGGGTGAAGCAGCACCACATCAGCTCATGTTATGAGTATCTTCAAGGATGGTGATTTCACAACCTCCCTGGGCGACCTTTGCCATGTTTGACCGTGATTAAGATAAATATTTCTCCTTTAGACTGAGTCAAAATTTTTCATGCACACTTGTGCATACTGTTAACTTAGAGATGTCTTACAAACTGAGCCTGGATATTTATTTTTGTTTACACCCTCCTTTCAGGTAGCTGTTGACCACACAGAGACCTACTGCCTTTCCTTCTCCAGGTTGAACAACACTCATGCCTGCCAACCCCTGACCAGCCTGGCAGCCCATAGGATCTGTGTGGGAGCACAAAGCTAAGCACTCTAGCATGTGGTCCTGCAAGTGCTGAGGGGAATGAAAGAACCACCTCTGCCAACCTCCTGGCTACGATCGTGCTAGTGCCACCCAGGAAGCTGTTGGCTGGAAGGTGAATTGCCAGCTCAGGGTCAGGTTGGCCACCAGGAACCACCACGTCTTTGCCTGTGAAGCTGCATTCTAGTCACTGCCCCCAGCCTGTACTTTGTAGGACCTTGCCCTTGTGGTTTTTTTTGGATTTAATTCAGTTCCTTTCAGCACCCTGTCTCTCTGGCCTGTCAATCTCCTCCAAAAGGCAGTTCCACCTTCCTGCAGAGTGACTGCTCCCCTCAATTTGTTGATCAACAACTAGCTTGATGAGAGTGTTCCCTCCTTGTCTTCCAGGTTGTTAATAAAGAATGAAGTGGTACTGGCTCAGGGATTGATCCTGGAGTCACGCAGTCATACTGCTGAGCACCACACTTGGCAGGAAAACCTGCCAGTTTTCCACCAACATCATTTTCCATTTATCCAATCCACATCTCATCAATTTGACTATAAAGGTGATATGGGAGACTCTGTCAAAGGCTTTGGTAAAGTCAAAATATACAATAACCATTTGTTTCCCCTTGTCCACACAGCCAGTCATCTCTATGCTACATATATCAGTGCTATGAAAATAACTAAATGTATTTCTATGTCAAAATTAATTTGTCATAATCCAAATGTTTACCTTCAACAACTGGTCTACTTTGCTTTTAAGCAACAGTAGCTGTTGATTGTCTTCACGTAGCCTGAAGATAAGTATTTAACTATAAAATCATTTTCAAACCATATTGTGCTGATCAAGTTCCCTAACTTTTCTTATGCTTACTAAAAATGCTAATCTCAAAAATAACATTACAAGCCCTAGAACAACAAAAATACATTTATAGGTATCCATATATCTAATTTTAGCCTCTTTATTTAGGATAAAGAAATGGAGGAAATTACTGCAGTAATTGGTAAAAGTCTTAATGAAGTACTAACCTACACGTACATGACCTTGGTCCACAAGACACTTGTTCTCCCACTCCAACTCCCAAACCATCTGGCAAAGCCCATATTTAGACTTGCTGTCCTCTGCCAACCCAGCCAACTGGTGTGGTCTGGGCTCATCCTTACGTGCACTCTGTGACCTAGTTCCTGAGATCTCACCTAGTTAGGTTAGGACACCTCGTAATCCCTGAGTTGAGGCTGGGACCTGAAAGTATCCTGGAGAGGAGGTCAAAGAAGCGTCTCCTGGGGCAGCCAGAGTACACTGTGGCTCAGTTCCAGCATGCTCTCTACTCTCAGACTTTCTTGTGATTCCAGGGCCCTTCCTGAGACATCTGAATATATCCTCCTGTTTGACAACTCTTCGCTAGGCTGGTTAAATTCTTGAACCAGTTCTTACAATAGTTCTTCAGAAAACCTGGTAACGAGTGGTTACCGGTTAGCTCCCTTGGTGTTAAGATTTTACTGTTGCAGGCAGTGTACAGCATTATTATGAATGCTAACCTAAGTTCAAGTCAATACTGAAATTACTGGTTTGGTCTGGAATGTTTTCAATATGTATTTAGAAAAGGTATTATTCAGTAAATCCTGAAGGCAGAATAAGCAGCAACACTTAAATGCAGTTACAGTACAGTATTTGTCTAAATTTTTGTTTCCTGATTAGGTATCTCAGATAATTTTATATTCAATCCACAACTGAAGTGATAATTCACTGATTAGATAATAGCATAAATTATAACTAGAGACTGTCAAATATCACCTCCTGCCCTAATACGTATCAGATAAATGAAATTAAAATGACTTTTTACAGTCAGGCTTTTCATTCTCTGGTCTACCCTCACACAGGAGATCTTACTGGATCACTAAGCCAGCCAGAAACTGTCTGCTTTTTTTCTGGCTCTTTGCCTCCTGGTTTTCTGTTGGGTTAGTTAGCAAATGGAATTGGCTCATAGAGATTGACACGTTCCTGAACTGGCATAAGGCAAGCAGCAGGTGTATGCAGCTAAAGGTGAGGATCAGGACCAGGCCATTTCAGGATCAGCAAGGTGTCATGTTGGCCCATCCCAATGTCACCTTAGGGCTAAAATTCACAACATTTCACAAAAGACGAGCCAACTTTTGGATGCCAAGGCTGATTTATGCTACAACAAACTAATGGTAATACATAACTTGTTTTAAACTTGGGAAGCGGCATGTCTGCTACCCAACAAGCTCTAGCATTATCATATATGGCTTGCTGACCATGCAGCAGAAGTAAATGAGAACCTACACTCTTTGTTCTTTCATAGCATGGCAGTAAGGCAAAATTATAGCCCATCTTCCTAAGAAAGGGAATTGCAAGTTTCTGTAGTAAGCACTTGGTCCCATGAACTGGTGAGTTGATCCCTTGCACCAACCAGTACTTTTCTGAGCAGCTGATGAGCTATTTCAGCTCACTAACCAGCCAGAACCACATGGTTTGATTTTTTTTTTTTCCAAGTTTCCCAGTTTTTATGGGCTGTATGGGCTTGTTGAAGCGTTATTGAATGTCAGAGCTGGCACTGAAACAGATGGAGAAGGTGACAGGGAGAGCGGCAGAGGTGATGCCACCCTTGCAGCAGTAGGCCATTAGATCAATTCAGTCTACCTCATGAAGCTTTGCCTTAAGAAAGACGAGGAAGCATCTGAAATCCCTTGCTTAAAAATCAACATCAAACATTTTTAAGCTTGTATACAGGCCAATATAGGACACAGATTAAAATACCAGCCAACATATATTGGCTCGTTGGCTCTATTGAACTGATCGGTGTCAATTAAGACCGATTATTCTAAGATCTTCCATCATGTCACAGGTTAGGCACTTGCAAACTGCACACAGCACCGACTACCATTACTAAGGAAGCTACAAGGGGTAGGCACTTCACATGTGGCTCAGAGAATTTATGGAATTATTTTCCATCCCAAAGAAGCGCTTAAAAAAAAAAAATCAACACGTATTTGCGTTTCGGCCCCGGCCCCTTCGCCCTCAGGCGGCCGCCATGCAGGCGGCGGCCGTTACCCGGCGCAACGGCGGCGGCGCCATGAGGGAGGGCGGCGAGCCCGAGGGGCTGGCGCTGGAGCTGGAGCGGGAGCGGGGCAAGCAGTGAGCGCCCGGCGCGGGGCGGCGGGCACGAAATGGCGGCCGCGGGCTCCACACGGGTGGAGCCCCGCACGGGGGTGTGTGGTGGGGGTAGCGCTGCCCCAGGGGGCTCTCCGCCCTCAGGGACGCCCCGTGGGTGCTGCAGGAGGGTGGGCACCGCAGTGTGGGGCAGGGAGTGAGTGGGGGTTTGGTGGGGGCACTCAGTCCTCGCCGCTTGGTGTTGAGGTGGTGAGGAGAAGGTGTAGGGCAGGGGGCTGGGGTGGCACCAGGAGCCTGGAGAAACAGGATAAGTAGTCCCAGACACATGTGAAGCTGGCATTAAAACAAAATGGAAAATAGGACTGGGGGTGGGAGCTGGGGTGCAGTAACAAGTGGGTTATCACAGAATCATAGCATATCTGAAAGGGACCCACACAGATCATGGAGTCCAACTCCTGGGGCCTCAAAGACCAGCCCCCAAATAAACATAATCAGATCGTGTCTGTTTGGCATGGAGAAGAGGGAATGGAACAGGCTATGAGGTGCTCTTTATACACGCCTTCTTACCTTTTTCCACAGCATGGAATTAAACGGGCAAGTTGGATATCGCTCCACCATCAGTAAATACCTACTGGGAAAGTAGCTCATCTCCTTCTAGTGCAGTTCTGCAAAGAAAATGATAACTTGTTACTGCTACCAGTTAGTCCTCTTGCTTAAGCAGCAAAGATTTCAAGATTTTTTTTTGTTTTGTTTTTGTTTTCAGTTTGCTTAGGAAGTCACATGTTTTTCTCTGTTAGAGAACATTATTGCCTTTTGAATGTTAATAAATTAAAGTTTAGAAAATGCCAGAAGCGCTTGTGCTGCCTTAAATCAGACCCTTAATATTTACATTTCTATACAATTTTGAGACATTTGGTTCCGTGATGATTTTTTCCTCCAGACAATGTTTCCTTCGGTTTCTAGGCTGAAGATTCCTGCAAACTATTCCTGAAATTGTGGACTTTATCAAATGTCTATTCTTCAGTGGAAAGGGGGAAGCCAGTATTAACAGAGTCAAAATGGTTAGGCAGCTTCTGGGGTCAAAATGGGACACAAAGGAGCTTGGTCATGCTTACACCTGTGTGTAAGCACATGACCTTTTTCTGAATCTCCTGACCAGTAAGTTACGTGTCAGCGTAATACATAAATTATCCTCTGCATAAGCCAATTCTTTGGCTTACCAGATACTCAAGCTTGATATTGTAGGTTGTCAGATAAAAATCTGAATATTGGCTTTGTTTCACTGCTTTGATTTTATTTATTTTTTTATTTTTTTGAATTAAGGAAAACCTGGGTATTTTATGCAACTTAACTTCCTGAGGTTGTTCTGCAAGACTGCGCCCAAAGTGCAGGTCACATTATGAAGCTGTGCCATTGCCAAGCAAAGGAAAAAATATGTATATTTAATAAAAGTCTCTATTTTGATGGCATGACAGAGACACAATAAAAAACTTGCTGCTACAGGTGGATTATGCAACTACTTCCCATGTTTGTCTTCTGTATGCAAATAGACAACACCATTGTTGCCTATTTCACAAGTAATGTATTCAACCTATCTGTTAGCAACCTGGTTTGTTAAAAACCAGCATCTAAACCAGTTGCTTGTATGGTCTGTGAATACAAAAAGGCTCTTTGAAGGTGTGATTCATCTGACCTACTTTGGCTGGTTGTTTCAGAGTGAGATGAGTCACACACCCTAAGAAGTTTTCTCTCCATTGGGTATAAAGAAAGCTGAGGCTGCCTGGCTCGTAGATAGATGTCCGCATTCCTCCAGAGCAATGTCACCCTTGTCATCTTTTCACTGGTTTATTTGATTATTGTTCCGTTCATGCAGTTTGCTAACAGCCCACCTACCACTCTAGTGAAGAAGGGATTTTTACTTCAAAGGGTAAATTGAATCATCCATGTCAGGAAGGGGTCTTTACCTAAGTACCTGCTGATTCTCAATGATTGTGGATATAATACTAAGAAAGGCTTAATGAAAGCCAGTAGCTTAAATCTGACACTGAATTACTGTAATCAAGATTCAGCACAGGTTCTGTTTGGGAAATGTCATGGCAAATGTTGCTGAGAGAGGGAAGGCATGTAAAACACTGCAGTATACTACTTAATAGACAAAGAGTTCTTAAAGGCATACATTTATGCATGTCAGCTTACTCTATCGATTTACTATTGTTGATAGGGTTGCATGTTAATTCAGCTTGTGAGATTTCAGCTTTTGTGGCTTTCCACATGAGGAAAGTTGTAGGATTTGCCCAGCACGCTGCTGACTGGCAGGGTTTCAGTGCTGTATATGCTCTTTCGTGTGGTGCCTTTTGCACTGTGTAGTATTGTTCCTGCTCTGTTCATAGATTCTGAAGGCATCTGTGTATTTTGTCTTCTACGCAAACCAGTAAAAGTCTGCCACATTGTAGAGCTGATGCCCTGGAACTGATGATTTGCCTTGAGCTTCTCCCATAATGTTTCACAGGTTTCTTTCCAATAAAGAAAATGGCTTCAGGCTGTCTTTCGGCTGATACATGCACCAGATACACCGGATACCCAAATCTGGATAACAAAACGTACAGGAAAATGGCCATTTTCCTAAGAGGCTGTCACTTTCAAGTAAAATAACACCTGCAAACTGTCTTAAAAGGAAACTCTGCATTTTTTTTTTAATTGTTATTTTCAATCACAGTCTTCTTACCTGAACTGCAGCTTTTTTCTCCTTTTCCTCACAAACACATTCCTGTTGTTTAGTATGCAAGTATGTGGTTAAGTTTGCCTGATGACAAACTGATGAGCTTCCAGAGTTTATGGACCTTTTTCTGTGATGCCTGTGAGTCTGCTGACATGGGAAAGGTTCATAGGCCTTGAATATGTCTGGTTATAAATAAATGTCAGGTTGTCAGTAAAATCACACCTCAGCCCGTCAAAGTACAGACCAAGACACTGGACAAGCAGCTACACACAGCTGCTTCAAATTCACAGTAACAGATAAGTGGTGTGGGCTGTCATTTCTTATCACAATTAGAAATACCTCCATAAATTCAAAATACATACTCCTAGTACAATAAACAGCTGACATATTTACCAAGTTGGTTGAAGTGGTTAATTTTGATGTCTCTTTTCTGTCAGTGCAGGGACTATAATTTACTGCATATGCACTGAATAAAATAGAGAGCTTCTACCTTGCATACTTTTTAGTTTCTATTGGAATATTAAATGTTTAATAACAATTTTTTAAAAATTATTTTCAGTTTCCAAATGAAAATAAGGTTTTCTGTTGTGTAGCAATTACAGTCTGACACCTGACAACTTATCATTTCAGTGTACATTTTCATCCAGAAGGAATATAATTGGAAGTTGGCTAGCAGCTTTGCTAATGATGCAGAAAGAAGAATACAATCTAACTTGTACTTCTGAGAAATATTGTGCGTAGTCTTAGAATGATAACAGAAATTAAAAACTGAAAGCACTGGATCTAAATAACTCATTTGTATTATGCTACCCTGCATCAATCAAAGCACCTATTTAGGGTTTTCTTGAAGAGGAAGAATTAATTAAATTTGGTTACAGCTCAGCTCTAATTACAGCTTTGACTGTGTCTAACTTCCAGGGTTCCTTCCTTCCAAAAGTGCCATTTTAACACTCACCATCACCCCAATTTCCTCTTTTCCAAGCACTAAGTTTGACAGAAATCTGCTTTAAGGAAGCCATATCCATTTGTACTGGAATGATACCAACAATATAATAAGATTTTGTCTTCCTTCTTCCTAGCCATCTGCGTCTTCCATTTGGAGTGGAAGCAAATAAGCAGCAGCAAACAGATTTCCTCTGTTTTTCCTGCACCTAAGCTTTCTGACTCATGTATTTCAGCTCCGTCTTTGGTGGGACTTTCACCATAACCTTTTCTGTCTCCAGTATGTTATCCATACTTTCATTCTTTGTTTGCCTATGACCCCCTCTCTAATTTAAAGTTGGTAGGGAACAACAGCATTAGAGCAATGAGAGATTGGAAGATGCAGTTCTTCTCTGTCATTAGAGGTTTCTATCCTCCAGTGTGTTTCTTGCACTGAAAACTTACTTAAATTACCTTTAATTAACTTCTGCTTATTTTATTTTCTTTAAATTCAGCACTTACTCTGGTGCAGGTAGGTGGGTTGTGCTCTCATCTAAGTCCTCTCCTAGATTCTGCTACTGGTCATTGATCCAAGGCAGCAAGAGTCCAGTTTCCAAGGTATATGCCAGGTGCCAAGCAGTATATGAAAGTAATCAATGGGCAAAAAGTATGTTTTCCTACAAGGAAATATTATTCTTTTTTTCAAATAAAGAATTTCTTAGGCATCCTTTAGTTGAAGAATTAACTCCACTGTCTTTTCTACAATTGTTTAATGCTGATGATCTGCTGGGCAAATATTACATTTTAGGAAACATCTATGTTGTTTTGTAATGGAAGTAATTTTACTCACAAAATAGGCATTCTGTTGTTTTTAATGTACTATAATGCATTAAGTGTAATTAATGTTAATGTAACTATAAAGAAAAAATACATAAAAAAGTGAGCAAGATGTTGTAATTACGTAGAAAAGACTGATAGATATTTCATCTAAAAATACATTTGATTTAGTCTTTTTTACCTTAATAATTAGATTAATGTAATAGCCAATTAATTGATTTCTCAAAACCCATAGGCAAATGCTTGAAAACTCAATATTTGAATTGAGAAACACAGTAAAAGAACTGGAAAAGAGACTTAGCAGTGTTGAAGATGAAGGTAAGTGAATTCAACAGAATCTTGTAATGAGTTAGGAATTGCAACAAATTAATTCTTTTGGGTAGACCCTACGGAGATGCAAGCTTTTATTTAGGAATTTTAGTTCCTCCTTTTCAAACACGCTTATTATAGGTGTGATAATTGCAAACATGTAATTAAGGAATGCTAAATACTTTGTATTAGTTTTTTTCCCTCTTGTTATTATTTGAAGAAACAATGGATAACATGGATAACTCGATAACATAGAGTTAGTTGGTTAATATTCTGGCCACAGTAAGCCCATTGAAACAAAACCCTTGATTTATATTTTCAAGCTGTTTTGTAATTCAAATGAATGCTTCCTCATTATGAAGATGACTAACTGGAGAGTTTCTCAGTCTCCAGAACAAAGTAGGAACAGTTTGAAAGAATGCTAACTTAAATTTGAAAACGCATAAAATAATTTGGGAAACAGAATAACCCTTTGTTTGTTTTTAAGGTAATGAATGGAAAACCAGATACGAGATGCAAGTAGAATTGAATAGACAGCTGGAAAGGCAAATTAGTATTCTAAAAGGCAAAATGGAGCTTATTCGTGGAAACCCAACAGGTAGAAATAGATATCCATAACTGTTTTTCAATAGAATTAGTGATTATATGTTGAAATCATTATTAATGGGTTGCATCTTTTGCTTATTTGTAGATAAATTGTCCATTATTCGCATCTTTGATCAAATGCCTGTGGTGAGTACAGTGGAATTCAATTGCTTAAGTATCAAACCCATGGTATAATTAAAGAACTTGTATAATTGATACTGTTCCATGACAAAAAATACCAGTGGCCCTGTCTAGAAACCAAAGCAATCAGGCCTGCTTACTTTTGTATGGTTTCAGATATGCATGCAGTTGCATGCATATTGCAAACCTGTCAAGGTCCCTCTGAATGGCAACACAACCCTCTGCCATATCAAACACTACTCCTAGTTTTGTATCATATGTGATAAGAAATATCAACAGTTGCACTTACATTTTGAATAATATAGTTACAGGAAAATTCCTCATTTTACAGTAAGTGCCCCATTTTTTGCCACACAAAGTGTCTGTTTTCAGTTTTAAGTTTTTATTTCTTAATACGTTCATATTTCACCATCTGCATTTTAACAAAGCAGAAAACATTTTCCTTTGATCTTGAGGAGAAAATTGTAGGAAAAAAACAGCAAATGTTTTGGCCATTAATAAAACTGAAGTAGGAAATTAAGTGAAACAAATTTAGATTCAGGACTATTTTCCCTTAGTCATTTGCTGAAATATTTTACTTTGAGACCTTTTCTGCCACTTAACCATTTTTAGAAGTAGGGGAAGTAAATATAGAAGTGGTAATAATGCCTTGTTGCATAAGCAGGAGTAATGACCATTATCACAAGGCAGGGCTTTGAGGATTTTTATTTTTATTCCAACTTCACATGCACTTAAAGAAGTCATAGAAAGCCTCTCTGAGTGTCTCCATCTGATTCTTGTGCTTCAGATTCTGAAGATTAATGGGAGTTCACTGAGCCTAGAGGAGGCTGCATGCCATATTAGTGGGAATGATTGCTCGTTGTAAGCAGTATGTGAATAATTAATTGCTCTTCCTGATCTGATCCATGGCCTTCGGGTTGTAAATATTCTTGCCAGTTTAAGTACTGTCCTAGACTCCGTGGTGTTTTCTAGATGGCTGGATCTTTTTTTTTTTTTTTTAAACAACCACTTAAAAGCAATAGCAGAACAAAATCCTTCCCATCCCGCTTGTATGTGTCAGGGAGTTGATTAGAAAATACAGCTGGAATTATATTTGAAGCACAGAACATTGCTCTAAAAAATTTACAGCAGAGTTTGCTTCAGACAAGGTTATTCCTGCCAGCCTGTGAAGCACTGACTGGCACACATGCTGACAGTATTAAAAGCGTTTATTTCCATCGAATTTCCAACACTGTCTTAACCAATCCAATTACACCTTGCCAAGAACCCAAAAAGTCATTACCAGTTAGATAATCCGTGAGCTTTATTGGCAGCTGTACTGCACTGATTCAGTACATTTCTAATCCCTACTAAATTCTGCCTTGCCTCTTCACCTATCAGCTATTGTTCTAAGAGGTTTGATCACTGTTCCCGTAAAGGAAATAATGACAGCAGAACTGAAAGGTTCCTACTGCCAGAAGGAATCTAGGAAACAATTTGGAGAGGCCTGGACTTACACAGTTACACCTAGGGAAGTACAGAGCCCATGTGCCATGCCATATTTTTTCTCCTAGTTTTTCACCCTTCCAATTTAGTGAATACATTCATCTGTTGACTAGCCAGAGGGGAAAAAAAAAACAACAAAAAAAAACAAAACAGCGGTGTTTAGGGATTTAGTCAGATGTTTCATTTTGGCTTGTTTTGATTGTTGGAAGACAGAAAGAGAGGAAGAAAGCAGATGTATTTTGGGGGCTTTGCTGTTTTTTGTTTTTTTTTTTTCACTGAAGGTATCAGAACAGTCAATGTATTTACAGTTATTCTTGCAGAATGCAGAGCTTTTGGCAGGTAAAACATTGGTAAAAAAAAAAAAAAAAAAAAGCACGGATCAATTTGTGGTGCCTAAGCATATAGATTTATCCAAATCCATTTTATGTTTTTGAGACTTGTTCAGGGAAGCAGAGGGGAATATTTAGCTTCTCCACAGATGAGAATAAAGAGCAGATGTGGTGAGTGGGTGTAGAAAAGCAAAGAGCTTTGCAGCCAGTCATCAATCTACATTCGCTCAGAGTAAAAATGCTGAGAGTGTGTATATATAAAAATTGAGTGTGTGCATTAAATGAAAAGTACATTATAATATTCAGTTTTCAACTTGCTGTTGCATATGAAGTTCTGTGAAAAGATAGCAAAGTGATTTTTCAGCAAAATGATACAGTTTCTAGAGTATGACAACAATGGACAGTAGATTTTGAGGAACATTTTTAGAAAATAAAATAGCACTTGTAAGTCCTTTCTGAGGTATCTCAAAGGTTGTAAGGGTATTTATCTCACTTGGCCAGCCAATTAAGGTCTTACTGTAGACAACAGAAGCATGTCCACAGAGTAATTCATCTCATTTAGAGATAGGTACAATAAAGTATTTTCTTGATATCAAGAGATACAGGAAACTTAAAAAAAAAAAAAAAAAAAAAAGATTAGTCGTCAGGTACTCTGCTAGTGGGCAAGCTATAAAAACCTGAATGAAAGAGAAGAACACAAACACACATTCTGGAGTGAGGAAAAGGGAAGGGCAGAGCATTTTGTGTTCATAAATTGCAATGATTGTTGCAGGTGGTTTGCATTTATTTCACTTTAGAATTAGAATCTTACTGATGAATGATTCCTTGCTGTTAAAAATAACCCTAATCATATAAATATACAACTATCCTTCTGAAGTCCTTATACTGTCTTGAGATATTTTTTTTATTAGAAAAAATGATGGTGTCACATGACAGTAAATGCATATTCAATACCTCGAACATTCATATTTTCATAGCCAAGATACAGAAGAGCATTTTTTTGTACTGAGGCTGGATTAAAAATAACCTAAACAGTGACAAGCACAGGGGAGTTGCAACACTGAAAACTGTTTAGTCAGTAATTTCCTTTATGTCCCAATGAATAATAGAAATGTCATACACTATCTCAGGAATAATTACAGATGGAATGCCTCCTCTCTAAAGCTTAACATGCTGTGAATTTTATTTATCCCCTTAAACACAGTGCATTCATTTGTTCACGTTTTTTCATTAAGTGAGTTTTGGTGAAATACATGTTGTCTGCTAATTTCCTGGATAAGTAGAAAAAAAATGATTTATATCACCATTTCAGCAAGAAAGGATCCCTAGATAGCAGCTTTAGTATGCAAATACTGAAAGGCACACTACAGAATCAGTTCAGAAGAGCACACTCCCGATAGCATTGCCTTAGCAACGCTCTAGTTAAGATTAGCCAAAGAACCCGGGTTTCAGTCATAAATCACCATTTTCAGGACTGCCCAGCACCATAACTGAGAAAATTCTCACAGTAAGGGCCAGATACTTGCTTTGCAAAGCTGCCTCTCTGACACCGTAATGACCACGTGCAGCAATCCTCACACTGCGACCTCGAGGGTTTTGCTGTCAGTTTGAAACTGCAAGGAGAACATGTGGCAGTGTCACACTGGAGAAGGTGTTGGCAACGTAACTGGAGGGGCATCTTGTGTTTGCGAAAACATGCAACGAAGAATTTATATTTCTGTAGGTGTTGATGACTGCCTATAGGGAACATCAGCACTTCACGATGGCATAGGAAATGTTGACAATTCCTTTAGCAAGTCACTGTGAAGTGGCCCTGGTTGTTCTTGCTGGATTAAGTCACCAAGAGCTCTGTGTGAAAAACAAATCTGGTATCCTGTCTTCTCTGTCAGGCTTCAAAGTATTTTGGAGAAAGTTGTGTAGTCTGGTCTGACAGCCCTAAGCTGCCTCCTGCCTCCTCACAGACTTCCTGTTCCTACTCCTTTCATCCGACTTAGGACGAGCGTTTTGGATGCCTCCAGGAGACCTTTTTGACTTGCATTTTTCCCTTTCTTTGTCATGTTGGCATTAATTGTTCCTCCTGGTGGCCTTGCACAAAGCGGCAGACTGTTTTACTCAGATCACTTTGTGGTATTCCCACAGGCAGAATGCACTTGGTATTTCAAAGAAAACAATCAGTGAGAAACCTCGCAGTCAACTGACATTATTAACTGGCTGCTCTCCAGCTGGGTGCCAGTTCAGGAATTCCAGCAATGGCTTGGCGATTGACTGGGACCCTTGGATATCTCCCAAGGAAAATGTATAATGAAACAATCTAGGCTTTTTTTTTTCTGAAAGGCCTTGCAGGAGAGGCAGTAAGTGAAACATATCGGAGCCAATAACATCTTGTTTTGTCAATCTGAACCGCAGCAAGGGAGCAGTTTCAACTTCCTCCCCCCTAGTTCAGCAGCTGACCTCTCTGAAAAAGGCTGTGGAGACTGATGGCATAAGGAAACGGGTAGCACTGCCCCATGTCTGGTTACACTGAGGGAGCCTGAACTTGCCAACAAGTCTCCAGGCTGCTCTTTTTACCCTGGCCCTTGACAGTGTGTGATGCATACAGCGCGCTGCATTCATGCAGTTCAGCTCTGTTTGGTTTTGAATGTATTGAGTATTTGAACATCAGAAGAGCACACTAACCACAAGGGGGCACTTGACATTTAAACAAGTACAGCGATTCTTTCTTCACCTCTACTGAAGCCTTTACAGTATCTACCGCATATATATCGACTGTATATTGTATGTAGGAATATGCTATGCTACGTAATTTCTATGTATCATTTTTCCCGTAATTGCTACAATATACGTGTAGTGACTTTATTGATATCTACTTAAAACTAATTTCAGTTACAGTAAAACTAAAGAGGTAACATTGCTTTTTGCTCTTGATGAGTTTAAAATATGTTACAAGATTCAGCTAAATCAGCTGATGAACAGCAGCTGCTAATGTTGGAGGGGGGAGAGTTTATTTTCTAAATAAAACTTAATTTTATTTAAAATGTGAAGTAGAATGGATTGCAAAGGCTTCTTGTGTGATTTTTTTTCTCCTATACAACTGACAGATGTATTGCTTCTGTTCTAACTCAGGGAGAATAATTAAAAAAAAAAAGCTGAATCAAATTGCTATAAGGATCAATAGTTTGCGTAAGCTCTGAT